CAGCTGCCACAGTAGGATTAGCAGGCTGTAAAGCAGCAAACGTAATAGCTAGCAGCATGATAAGCCTTGTTTGAGCGTGAGGGACGAATATGACACTCCTTAATAATGTGTCGTGGCTGCTTGCAGTAGATACAAAATTTTCGAGGACAGTGAGGGACAATATGGTCATATTTCTTACAACTATAGCACTGAGTGGTGGTCATATGCTGACCATTTCCCTTGCCATGAACGACATAGGCAACTGAGACATTATTAGAAGCAATACATGTCTGCTCTATAATATTTTGGGTATTGAGATGGTGTTCCTCAAGCAAGAGTTCTCCAAAACATGCCTACAAAGTTGGAACATGGTCTCTATTTACTAGAGAGGCACGAACAGACTCAAAGTCAGGCCGTAATTTCATGAGAAATTGGTTGCTTTGGTAGGTTTTGTGTATGTATTGTACTATCTTAGTCCTGCCTCCAATCCTTCCGTAGAGACCTTAGTTTTAACATGGTCTGAATAATCATTTCACAAAGTCAACTGATAGGTCCACTTGGGAATAGTTAGCAATAGCCAACTCAGGCTGAAAGCGCCTAGCATTGTTATCTTGTTCATAGACTTGCTTGAGATAATCCCATGTAGTCTTTGCAGCATATAAGGATGCATAGAAAGAATAAAATGTGGTTCTATAGAACCAAGAATCCAGGACATGATTTGGTTATCTTTGGCAGCCCAAGTTGCCTTGTCAGCCGCATAACCTTCTGCAATAGATCCCTCATTGTTGCTGCCATCTATAGGGATGCATAACTCCTTATCCTTGAGAAGTGTTTTTGCTAGTAAATTGGCTTGTTGAGAGTATATATCCAAGTTAGATTAATAAGTCAATTACAACTATTACTCAGTAGTAATTTATTTGTTACATGGTATAATTTATGGCCTTGCAATTATATCACCCAAAGAATTATTTTCAAACTATGTGAAGTAATAGTAGGTGAATTTGCCAGTGAATGTGGTATTTTACCAGTGAAATCATCGACTTAGACGAAAATATCTCAATTTTCTAAAGCTATGAAAAACATTCGGCAGACAGGACTGACGGATCAAGTAGTTGCGATGCTTACCTTTCAACAACTTTTATTGCAAGAAATGAAGAAACTAAAGGGGCGTTAGTTGTTGTTTTCGCTATTTTCAATTTTGCAAAATACCTAAAACTTGTTTCGTTTAGTATTCTTGAAAATGCATTTTGAAAACAAAATTGAGTCCTTGTCTGATTTTGCTAAAAAAATCTGATTTTTTGGCGTTGAACGTTGACAGTGACAGCGCGAGAAGTAAAAATGGAAAACGGGGCGATTTTGAGAGTGGTTCTATCAGGTTGACTCAGAACAAAACCGAATGACTCTAGAAAGGGTGATTTTGCTGCATTAACCAGTGTTTTTAACTGAATGTGAATCTTTTTCTAATTTTGTAGTACTTATTTTTTCTCGGAGTTAGTCGAACTTAACAAGTTTCTGCTAATGGTGAGTGTTTTCCTTTGTCTGCTTTATAAATTAGTATTCGTTGAGTCGCTCATTGTGGGTATCTTGTGTATTTAGCCAGATCGTTGAGTACTGCTGGCTAATTATTCAAGTTTCTTTAATCCTTTGATTAAATTCCCATTTTTTCCCTATAGTAAATGGTTTTAAATTAAGCTACTTTGAGCCTTAATTTTAGGTGGAACCCGAATTTCGAATAAATGCGACCAAGCATATTCATGTTCTACTTAGCAAAAAAATTAACTTGAAATATTTATATGTTGAAAAGCATTAAGAATTGAATGAAATATTTGATTTCAAATTTACCGACTTCAAACTCTAAATAAGTCATAATTTGATTAAAATTGCTAATTCTTATTCCACATGGGAAATTTTGAAAAATATCGTTTGGTTTATACTATGAGAGATGATTGCTGATTTTCTTTAAACACCGTAGAAGGAGCAAATTCGTCTTAAGGACATATCATGAAGTTGGTGGAATCGAATTAAATTTTTTATCATGTTCATCATCCTGTTACTCGGTTCAAGTTCCCGTCCTCATAATCTGCAAGAGTAAGTATCTTCAGATTGTTTGAAGGAGAAAAATCGATACTCCAAATATTTTCACGATAATTTCACATTTCTGAGAATGTGGTGGAACCATTTCATCCATTCTTTTTATATTAGGCAATATACAATGTACTTTTATGCCTCTCTTTGTCGACCATTATTTGAAAACTTTTTTTCTATATTCTCATTTTCAATCAAACATTCACACAATAAAATATTCTACACGTAAACTAAAAAAAATTCATACTTTTTAACCACACACATTCACTAAAAAAATCACTATTCAAAACTCAATTTTACCCAAATAATGATTGTCAAACATGGGCTATAATGCAAGATCCGAGTTTGAAGTGTTCATTTTGATTATCGTGCAGAGTTTTGATCAAACTAGGCGTGGAAAACTCAATACTCGACGAATTCATATCTCTTTGTTTGTAAAGCCATCAAGGTCAGTAAATCAATGAACCTTCAAAAGTGTCATCGCTGCATTTCTCAGTTGGGGTGTACGACGCATTAAGGTTGATAGAATGAGATTTTCTTTACATAATGGACTTGAAACAATTTGGTAACTTACTCTCAAGTAGATAGATCGATGTCTTCTTGGTTGCATCAACAAGCTACACACGCTAACACCACCACAACATACTCAGTCTGTGTCGTGTTCTTTGCATCTTTTGTTCAATATGTGAACCTCATAAAGAGTAGTTTAAAATGCTTTGGGGAATTGAATAATATATCAGGATTTTTTATTGTCATTGTTCTCTAAATGCTACTTTGACACACGATCTGACTTGATTGATTTTTTCTTACTATTGTTGTTCACGATATGATAGAACACAAATGAATCTCATTGTCATTGGTGTGTTCGACTACACCCTTCTATTTGCAGGTTTCGCCGAAAGATCATGCACTTTCGCTACTATTTTTTGGAATACAAGTTGGTATTATATAAACCCCGTATGCCCCTTTTCTCTGAAGACAAATGTCAGACTAAGCCCTTGTTTGGTCTGCATTATTTTTAAAATAATTTTTTTTCTCTTATTGCAATCACATATTTTTTAATAAAATAATATTACACGCAAACCCAAAATTTTTTCTTATTTTTTAATCACACATTCTCAATCAAATCACGGTACCAAAATGCATTTTTGGCAAAAAAAAAAATCGGCTCATACAAGCTTTAAGTTAGAAAAACATCAAACAACTTTTCAACATTACGGGTAGGTATATTCTACTTTAAAAGATTTGTCAAATATTTTGTAGTATTACAATCTTAAAACATAGTTCTTTTGCTACTCAATTTTATCTTGTTGAATCTGACTAAATAAACATGGTTGAATTTCTTGCTCCTTATTGAGGTCAAATATATTATTTATGTGATCATAGTGGACGAGGAAGATCACGTGGAAAGAAAGAGTTGTTCAACTATAGATACTCGTCGTGTCGAAACTTTATTGAACATTGCATTTGAGTGTCAATGGTAAGATTTCCCATTTTTAAATCAATTATCAATTTCCCACTTAGTAAAGAGTTCTCTATTGAACACTGTAGAGTCCATAACTTTATTCACGAGTAAGATTTGGATAGTCTTTTCTCACAATATTCATCGAAAAAATATGGTATTTCAGGATGTGTGAGTCGAGTGAAGATTAAAATGTTATAAAATTTAATACTAGTCAAATTTCTCAAATGGAGCAAGTCATAGATCAAATTGTTACATAAAATATCGAATAACTACTCTTAAGACTCATAAATGACTCCATGGATGTATTTTATTTTTTTAGTTTCCCAATTGTGTTTATTTCTGCTATCATTATTTAAGCATGTAATCTTATTTCACTTGTTATTGAACTGTTTTTTACAATCTTATTAACAATAAACATTTTGTAATTCTCTTTTCACAACAATAATTTTTATTTTTTTTTATTTCCTGTGTTTTAACAAGTCAATTTATTATTTATTTGTATTTTATTTTTTATGCAGGGGAAAATATTATAAAATTTATCAATTTTAAAAATGTATTTCTTGATAATATATTTTCATAAGATTATTTAATTTAACTAAATAATCAAAAATACATTGCATAAAATGTCATAAAATAATTTCTAAAAAATTTAAACCAAACATACTTTTCATTTTCTGGATGATAAATAATATTACAGTCTAAAAAATTTAGACTGTTGATCATCAGATGATAAATAATATTACTCTAAAATCTTTCTTACAAAAAAATGAAAAAAAAAAAAAAATACTTTAACCTTATTCGAGCACGCTGGATATGACTACCCAATTTGTAAATTATGTTCGCTATTTACGACTTTTGAAGTACAATTTTTTATTCTAACATAGAAAATATTAATTTTTTGTTCCCGCTAAGTTTGACACCCAAAACAGTTGAAAAATTGAATGAGGCTGGCAGTCCAACATAGAATTGACTACTTGGCACGTGTGAAACCTTGAATTGAAAGTCACCAACCCTATTGGCTAATGCTCATAATATTATTATTAAGATGTGCAAATTACAATAAATAACTATAAATTACTTCCTCAAACTAGAAAGTGAGGAATTATTTCATAGTGATGATATCATATTCACCGTAGACAAGAGACCAAGTGTTCTACTATTCATTGTAGACAGAAGGTCAAACCCGTCATTTCATACCTATCGTGAAAAATGTACAGTTATCATAAATTGAATACTCAGCTACCCAATTTGATTTATTTTATGATGTTTTATAATTTGACAGTTCCTTTATAATTCATAATAATTCTTTTTTGAAAGAAGTAAATTTTATTCGAAGAGTATTTTATTACATTGGCTAAAACTTATTTATTTATGTTCATTTTTATTGTAGCAAGATGGATTTCACCGAGATTGAGAATGGACAAACCTGCCCTTTAGCACAAATTTTGCTTTTTCATGAGGAACGACTCGTTTGGTAGGACTTCTGTTTCTTGTAAAAGAATTTAATGAGAAAATTATTTTGGGTTTGATTCTCTGTACTTTACTTTAATTTATCTAATACTCATTTTCAACCACATATTCACGTAATAAAATATTTTACACATTAACATAAAACTTTTCCTACTTTTTAATCACACATTCTTAAAAAATTACTATTCAAAAATATTTTTTTTAAATTTTAAGGCCACCAAACGGGGGCTTAGTCTTAAGAACTGTTTTTTTTTTTTTTTTAAATCTTGTCGAATATGCCCTAATTCTTGAATTGAAATTTCTTAATCTATTATTAATAAATTGACTCCAACTTTCAAATAATTATAAATGGGTGCTCAATCTTTCATTATAGCTGTTTGCTAAAATAATATGCCGCAAGTGCATGGATCGCATTCAAGTAATAAAGTGGATTTTTTGATTCCGGGTTGTCGATCCCTCGAAAAATGCTTACTTTTAATTACACAAATTTAGTCAATTTAATTTTGA